TGAATCTTGTGTAACCACAATCTTCTTAAGACAGATTTGCTCTCTCTCGGTACTCTAGGTTGATGAGCAACTGCCTACCAAGATAGAACAAATTTTGTCTTTGCAGAAGTAGCACTTCAATCTCTAAAGACTAGCGAACACAACTTTTGTTTTATACTTGAACCTTACATAAATGCAATGCAGGAAGAGAGAAAGTAGAAAAAATCCAAAAGAAGACTTCAAGATTTTTGGAATTGATTGAAATAGCTAGAAAACTGTCTATTTATACACTCTTGTTGGCTATTCAGATCGTCTGAAGAGACATGAGTTGCCATTGTTCAAATTGAAAAGACATACTCTTTTGATCAAATTAACCACAAACACAGAAAGTACATTTTTTGACAAATAGACAAGATTCTTCAATTCAACGCCAATTTCAAATATAATAGGAATAAAATTTTAAACCTGATTAGACTTTAAATTTATGTTGGAAGGTTGAGACCGATATGCGGATTGGACTGTTCGGATTGACCTACAACCCGCATCGTACCAAATGAATTTTGTTCAGAAAGATTATATATTTTTGGCCTAATCCCAAGCCCGGCCCAAATCAGTCGAATTGGATCGAGGCAAGGTGAGCAATGCGTGCGTATGGTAACTAAGGTAGTGTAGGCACTCGTTTCACTCACAAAAGTGTGGTACCCCTTAGGGGTCTAACCCATGAAGCCAACTAGGAATATATTAAGTTACTAAAGTATTGATCTTCTTTCAATGTAGGACAAACCTTATTCCATCACACCTATCTTAGTTTATTTTATTACTTTAAATGGATTACTTTGAGACATAAACTTTCGTTCAATATTTAATAATTTTAAACAAATAAATATACGATATTCATCTTTTCGCGAAAAAGAATACGTTTAAACTTGGTTCCACCAATTTTGAGGTATGAATCCCACTTTCATTTAAACCTCAAATTAATCAAATAATTTTGTTTAAAACCATTTTTTTTCCAACAGAATATCCGTCATAATCCGTGATTGCCAAATATATCGATTTCTACTGGATCCAAGGCCTAAGCCATGTACATGTACATGTGTTGTAGGGATTCTGTGGAACTTAGGAAACCGTGGCAGATAAAATATAGTTTTACTGGTCATAACCCGTGCATGAAAACACGATAAAATATAAAATTCGAATGTCTAAAAAATTGATTCCACTATATTAAATTTTTTCAAAATACAGTAACTACAAATTAATCAAATATTAAATAATTAAATATATGATAGAAATGAGTGATATAATATTTTTAGAAAAAAAATATATAAATAATTAAATATGTGATAGAAATAAGTGATGCGATTTGACGTTTGAGTCTGACAAAAGAATGATGGGTGAGGTAAGTGATCGGTGATGGTTTTGAGAAAAAAAATATGACTGAGATAAAATTCAAACACATTCCTGTTTTATTATATAGATAGACTAAATATAAAAGTTGAGCAATTCTATTCGAACATAATTTAAGAACATAATTTTGAAACTTAATAATTGTGATTATTAAATTATCAGTAGATCCCAATATTAAATTATCACTGGATCTCAACACTATCAATCTAATGGTTATAATGTATTAAGTTATTAAATTATGTCTCAATAGTATTTGATGATGCACAAAATGATTTTGCACACCATCTGTCAAGTGTGAGTAATAAATACAGTAATTAAAAGTAAAGAGGGTTGGAGGAGATGAGATTTATGGTGGTTCGGTCAATGTAATCTACGTCCACTTTTGAATGGCCTTGGTCGCCTGATACTTTATTACCTCAAAGGTGCAAGGAACAGAGAGTACAAACTTAGAGAGAGATGAGAGAGTCGTGCTCAACCGAGAGGAATTTGCCCTTCAAGTGTTGGTGAAACTTACAATTTATAGTCCCCTTAACAGATTGTGGCGATTTAATAACAACTAAATAACTATTCTGATGGAGTTGACGACTTCTTTTCAACGGGTGAGACGGTTAAGGTGCTCTCCATGAGACTCGGTCAAAAGAAGAGGTAAGGGTTGACTCTTTCCAAGGCGACGATGGAGAGGCTCCTCGTGACCCTTACTCCAAGATGATATAGGAGACTTTTGATAACTCTTACTTCAAGGTAGTAGAAGAGGCTCTTGGATGATCCTTACATGCCCCCTGTTGATGTAGCTCCTTGACCATGATGAGCTTGTCCGGGTGCAAACTCCTTTGAATTTGATTAACTGAACCTCTTAGAGTTGGACCCTTGAACTTGTAACATGAGTTGGACCCTTGGACTTGACTTATCAGCATTAGTGATAAAAGTTTAATCTTTTGAACATCCGTGATTGTTGAACTTAAAAAAAATAAAAAGGAACCAAAAAAGTTTTGGGTAAATCTCATAAATGTCCTTTGAACTATGACTTATGTTATAAATTTTTCCCTAAAATTTTAATTGTCCCAATTTGCCCTCTGAACTATGTAATTTATTTTAATCCACTCCTATAAGGTTAACTGTTAAGTGAGACATTCTCATTCAAAGGTTAATCTTAACAAAGTTTGTTTCATTTAATGATTAATCATAACCGAAAAAGTCAATTGAAAAAAATTAAATAGTTTACAGGCAAATTGGAACAGTTAAAAATTCAGGGGATGATTTAAAACAAAGATCATAGTTCAAGGAGTATTTATGAGATTTAACCAAAAGTTTATCCTCCGGGATAATTTTCTTGACATAGATGTGCAGAATTGTGTGCAAATGTATATATTTGGCTGTGTATGAATATTCTCCATTTAGTCATTTTCTCATTTGACAGTTTCTATTGATTTGTTTTTGGTTTTGACAGTACATCTTGGATACCACTGCTTATCCAAGAGAGCATGAGCAACTCAAAGAGCTAAGGGAAGCTTCATACAATACATATGGTCGCAGGTGAGTGAGTCCTGCATGGAGTTTGTTCACAATTTCCCATTAGTGCGATTATGTACTACCTCATAAAACCATAATATTAGTTTATAAGTATACTCTTGAGACCAAAACCAACTACAATTTGTCATAGCTTTTGAACCTTTATTACGAGGCAGACTCATAGATGCGCAGATACACAAGATACAGAGAAATTTAGGAAAGTTCAAACACAAAAGAAGAATTTTGCTTCAACTTATGAATTGTTGACTATTGATTTGCAATTTACGTTGTAGAGCTTTCATGAACGTGCCACCTGATGAAGGACTGTTGCTGTCTTTACTTTTGAAAATAATGAATGCCAAGCGGACATTGGAGATAGGTGTTTTTACAGGCTATTCTCTTCTTACCACTGCCTTTGCACTCCCTGCTGATAGCCAGGTATATGTTTATACCTTTTGGCTCTCCCAAGTTTTATGTACATTATTCTATTTATGAACAACTGATGCTACAAAAGGGGGCTAAGAATCCAATTACTTGGTAGAGTTTCGCAATTCAATTTTCTTATATGAATATGTATGGGTTGACAACGACTCTTCTTTTTTCCTTGTCGAACTGGAAACAGATAGTGGCTATAGACCCAGATCGTGAAGCTTATGAAGTTGGATTACCATTCATTCAAAAGGCCGGTGTGGAGCACAAGANATAGACCCAGATCGAGAAGCTTATGAAGTTGGATTACCATTCATTCAAAAGGCCGGTGTGGAGCACAAGATCAACTTCATTCAGTCAGATGCCCTTTCTGCTTTACATGGGATGCAGAGCAATGTAAGTACTTAGATAATACATGTATTTCATGTTGGTCACATGGTGCTTAATTATCCAACAGTACTCAGAAAAGGAGAAAAGTGTTTTTGTCATAGCTGTTTTAATGAATCGACAACCTTGATTGTTGATCATACCCGCCCCTGAATGCTTCTGATGATGATTTTAATGTAAGTGCACTTTTTACCTCTCGAGTAATGCTACACAACTTGACCCGATTAACACAACTTACTAGTCTTTCTATGATTCACTAATATTCAGACGTGTTTAACACATCAACAATAGGGTAATCAGGTAATCTAATTCCTTAACATATGCTAACTTCAATATATTACTATGCAGGGAGAGTCTGCAGAGATGTTTGACTTTGTGTTTGTGGATGCTGACAAGCCAAACTACATCAAGTACCATGAGCAAGTGATCAAACTGGTGAAGGTTGGAGGAGTTATTGCATATGACAACACTCTGTACCGTGGTTTCGTTGCAAGCCCAGAAAATGAAGTGCCGGAGCAATTCCAAGTTGGCCGGAAAGTGATAATGGATCTCAACACTCTTTTAGCCTCCGACCCTCGCGTCGAAATCTCTCTGGTTCCGATTGGTGATGGTCTTACTTTGTGCAGGCGCATCGTCTAAAGAATTGGCTTGAGCTAAGATAATTTTTGCATGATGCTAATTTCATATGTAAGGCTAGTAGCAGACCCTTGTGGCTGGCCTAGTTTTAACTGCTACTGAACACTCTTCATTTGCTTTCTAAGGTACAATAGAACTTTTGAATGGTTGCATAATTTAATGTTATTCCTTTTGAAGGCATGGATGAAAGGCAGAGCTGCAGCGGTGACCAATCCCTACGATGCTTGCTGAAGTGTATGTGACATGTTTCATATGTAGTATTTTTGAACTTTCATTATAAAAAGCATTTTAAATCCATATAGGCGTTGCCCAAATTAGACAATGTTATACACATGTTCTATGGGCATTGCAATTGGTATCAGAACCATTGCCCCCGTGGTGTGGGACTATTTGGGTGATGGGATGAATCATTTGTGTCATTGTAAATGCTTTGGGACCCAGATCAATGGGTCCAATTAGTAAAAGTTAATGGAATTTATTAATCTAAGGGACTATGCATTCGGTTTACAAAATTTGAGATCACTAACAGTGCTCGAGTTGGTTTAAGGGTCCATTGAGAAAGTGACCTCTTCATTCATTCAACATAAGTTTTGAAGCTGTTAAAAAAAAAACACTAGTTTTGAAAGAAATAACTTATTCTGAAATATTTTTTTATTTTGAATTTTTTCCTTGTATTATGTTTAAATCAACTTCATTCAGTCAGATGCCCTTTCTGCTTTACATGGGATGCAGAGCAATGTAAGTACTTAGATAATACATGTATTTCATGTTGGTCACATGGTGCTTAATTATCCAACAGTACTCAGAAAAGGAGAAAAGTGTTTTTGTCATAGCTGTTTTAATGAATCGACAACCTTGATTGTTGATCATACCCGCCCCTGAATGCTTCTGATGATGATTTTAATGTAAGTGCACTTTTTACCTCTCGAGTAATGCTACACAACTTGACCCGATTAACACAACTTACTAGTCTTTCTATGATTCACTAATATTCAGACGTGTTTAACACATCAACAATAGGGTAATCAGGTAATCTAATTCCTTAACATATGCTAACTTCAATATATTACTATGCAGGGAGAGTCTGCAGAGATGTTTGACTTTGTGTTTGTGGATGCTGACAAGCCAAACTACATCAAGTACCATGAGCAAGTGATCAAACTGGTGAAGGTTGGGGGAGTTATTGCGTATGACAACACTCTGTACCGTGGTTTCGTTGCAAGCCCAGAAAAAGAAGTGCCGGAGCAATTCCAAGTTGGCCGGAAAGTGATAAGGGATCTCAACACTCTTTTAGCCTCCGACCCTCGCGTCGAAATCTCTCTGGTTCCGATTGGTGATGGTCTTACTTTGTGCAGGCGCATCGTCTAAAGAATTGGCTTGAGCTAAGATAATTTTTGCATGATGCTAATTTCATATGTAAGGCTAGTAGCAGACCCTTGTGGCTGGCCTAGTTTTAACTGCTACTGAACACTCTTCATTTGCTTTCTAAGGTACAATAGAACTTTTGAATGGTTGCATAATTTAATGTTATTCCTTTTGAAGGCATGGATGAAAGGCAGAGCTGCAGCGGTGACCAATCCCTACGATGCTTGCTGAAGTGTATGTGACATGTTTCATATGTAGTATTTTTGAACTTTCATTATAAAAAGCATTTTAAATCCATATAGGCGTTGCCCAAATTAGACAATGTTATACACATGTTCTATGGGCATTGCAATTGGTATCAGAACCATTGCCCCCGTGGTGTGGGACTATTTGGGTGATGGGATGAATCATTTGTGTCATTGTAAATGCTTTGGGACCCAGATCAATGGGTCCAATTAGTAAAAGTTAATGGAATTTATTAATCTAAGGGACTATGCATTCGGTTTACAAAATTTGAGATCACTAACAGTGCTCGAGTTGGTTTAAGGGTCCATTGAGAAAGTGACCTCTTCATTCATTCAACATAAGTTTTGAAGCTGTTAAAAAAAAAACACTAGTTTTGAAAGAAATAACTTATTCTGAAATATTTTTTTATTTTGAATTTTTTCCTTGTATTATGTTTAAGTGTACGGTGTCACAGGTTTTTTTAAATTTTATTTTATTTTTTTAAAAAAATTATAATTTTGAAGTTTTTTTGTCGTATTATGTTTAAACGTATGGTGTCACCTTTTTTGGGTAGATTAATAGTGAATTATATCTAATATTAAGATCCACGGTTAATCCAAACACAACAAGGACTAAAATCAACAAACTATGTTTAAGGAACATTAGTCATTACACTTTAGTCCACTCTTAATGGACCCTAACTTCTGAAATTTTGACATCGCCCTGACCACCACCCAAACATCACCAACAATTCTTACCTAAAACAATCTAATTTTTCAAGATAGAACCAATCAATAAGCATCTTTAATAAAGGATTTTCTTTTAGAGTAGAACCAATCAATGAGGTTAAGTGCATCTTCAATGACATGCTCCTGTGAACTAATTGGACTTATTTTAGTTGATCAGCTGTGATACTTTCAAGATTCCCTCTACTTAGACGTTAAAGGGCTAATCCTGATCAAAAGCAAAAATTTGATATCTCATATCACTACAAGAAAACATTACTTTTGATCGAAAGTCGTTCAAATTATTTTTTTGCGCTCATATTTAGATATTGCATGATTTGTTTATAATAAAATTTGTTACTAATTTGGACACCGTTTATTTGAGGGATCATATAAAAATACTAGTAATTGCCCGTACCTGAAGGCACGGTGTTACTCATAAATTAGTTACAATATTTGCTCATACATAAATATAAAGTAAAATACAATATTGTAATAAACGACGAACAAAATGAGTCCATTAATATTTTTTATAACATCAACCTACATGCAAAATTATGTTAATTGTTACGCCACAAAAATTATGTTATAACTACTGAAACATAATAATTCAAACATCAGAAAAATTATATCAGTTGACAATATTCAATATTATGTTTTTTATTCAAAATCCACTATTTTAATATTTATAATCAACTTTATCTAAATAATAACAGAATTCATAACTAATAAGAGGAAAATTAAAACAATACTCCCACAAATAAACTAAGTCTGCAGATGTTGTCAAATGACCAAATATAACTATCAAAAATTCAACCAACTTTTAAAAGATACGACCTGACTGTCGAATGTGTATGATTCAAGTTTATAGTAGTGTTTTTAATTTTATATCATTCTTTTCGGTTATTTATATTCTTATTATATTTTCTTAAACTAAACGTTATTTAATATTGGATTATTTAGTAAAGATTGTTGTTTCGTGTTGTTTACTAAATATTGAATTTGTATGATTCGTGTTCATAGTATTGCTTATAATTTTGTATCATTTTTCTCGCTTGTAATTTTGTATCATTTTTCTCGGATATTTAAATTTAGATTATTTAGTAAATATTGTTGTTTTGTGTTATTCACTAAATATTAAATTTGTATGATTCATGTTTGTATATTTTAAATGTTAAACATATTTTCTTTAATATATTTCTTGATATCTGAGTTGTCTAACAACTTGAATTTAGTCTCGTATGTTTTAATGTTAAACATATTTTCTTTGTTAAATTAGATTCTTTGCAAGTTATGCTTTTTTTTTTATTGATTATGAAAAAAAATAAAATTGACTATTGAATTTATATAATTTGAGTTTATAGTAATGCTTTTAATTTTATATCATTCTTCTCGGTTATTTATATTTTTTGTATATTTTCTTAAACAAAACGTTATTTAGTATTGGATTATTTAGTAAAGATTGTTGTTTCGTGTTGTTCACTAAATATTTAATTTGTATGATTCGTGTTCATATTATTGCTTATAATTTTGTATCGTTTCTCTTCTTGTAATTTTGTATCATTTTTCTCGGGTATTTAGATTTAGATTATTTAGTAAATATTGTTGTTTTGTGTTGCTCACTAAATATTGAATTTATATGATTCATGTTTGTATATGAATTTAATCTTGTATATTTTAAATGTTAAGTATATTTTCTTTAATATATCTCTTGATATCTGAGTTGCCCAATAACTTGAATTTAATCTTTTATATTTTACATGTTAAGCATATTTTTTTTGTTAAATTAAATTTTTTGCAAGTTATGTTTGTTTTTATTGATTATGGAAAAAAATAAAATTGACTATTGAATTTATATGACTCGTGTTTGTCATATTGCTTGAATGAAAGAGAGAGATACAGAAGAATATTTTTGTGATATATATTATCTATCTAATGTTTATTACATAATTTTCTTTCAAAGAGAGATACAAAAGAATATTTTCGTAATATACTATTTCTCTGTGATATATACTATATATATAGAGAGATATAATATTTGCTTGAATCAGACACTCTAATATTTTCGTGAGATATAGAGAAAAATATTGTAAAAAATTGATACTTTTTTTGTGAATTGAGCGTGAGAGAAAGATACAGAAGAGTGAGAGATATATTCGTTTGATTTAAGGAAAATATTTGAGAGAATTAAATTATGGATATTAATTTTGGAAATTATAAATTTTGAGCAGCAAAAATATTTTAAAAGAGTTAATGTAGTACGTCGGATTAAAATGATCTGCGATGTTAATAGCTTAAGACAGTTTGAGATAACGCAATCCTTTGGATAATGACTTTTTTAATTACGAAACGATGTAGACCGCTCTTTGTCTCCAAAATTAAAAATCGTTCTACTTTATTATATAGACTAGTTATAACTCGTGCCTGAAGGCACGATAGAACAAAAAATTTAAGTCTTAAAAAATCGATATCATTATATTAAATAATAATTTTTCTTTCCTTCATTTATTTGATTAAATCATTCAAAATTTATTTTTACCCATTATTTTCTTGAAGATATTAACAAAATTTTCTCAAAATATGTAATTCAATAAATTTTTTTAACAGATCTATACTATCGTGTATGGATAATATTTGAAATAAAAATTATGTTAAATTAAAAATTAATAAAATATTAAATAGTTGAGCATGTGATAGAAATGAGTGATGTGATTTTTTTGGGGGAGGAATGTATAGGAAATAATATTCAACTTCATATGTGTTTTATTATATAGATATAAGATAAAATTTCATCTAGATCCCTTGTAGTTAGGTCTAAATTCAATGATACCTCCTTCCGATTTTGAAATTTCACTGTCACTCCTTGTTAGTAATTGTCGGGTTACATTGTTAATGACGATAGTTGATTTATAGAAACATTTTCAAGCATTTTATAAGATAAATTTTATCCACACTCCATATAAATAAACCTAACTTTAACAATATCACCTGTAAATAGATCTAACTTTAACAACACCCTCTCTTGATTCTGAAATTTCAATGCACTCCTTTTTAGTTCTATTATATTAGCCTTCTTTTGATCAATTTAATATTCAATTTTATCAAATTAAATTTCTTTATTTAATTTAAACTAAATTAACATTTCATCTCATCAAATATTCAAAGCAACACAAAATTGATATTTAATTTTATCAAATTAGCATTTAGTTATATTAATTTAATATTTCATTTCATCAAATTAATATTATTTCTTTAATGTACTATTAAGTTATTATTTATTTTTATCAAATCAACATCAAATTGACATTCAATTTTATTAAATTAAATTATTTGATTTATTAAATAGAATATTAAATTCCATTAATTTAAAATTTAACCTTATCAAATTAATGTCATTTCTTTAATTTAACAACAAATGAACATTCAATTTTATTAAAACAACATTCAAATTTATTCAATTAACATTAAATTTAATTAAATTAATACTAAACTAATATTTAATTTTATCAAATTAAACTAAATTAATATTTAAATTTATCAAAATTAAGATCAAATTTATTCAAATAATTTAAATTTTATATATGAAGTATGATGCGTGAGGAGCGATCGGGCGACGTTGTGGAGGACATATGATAACAGAATAATTAGAAATGAATGAGATTTTGACATTGACTTTATCAATTGTTATTTTTATTATAAAAAAAGAATCATTTTTAACTATAAAAATTATTATGATAAAAGAAATATAAAAATTAGAAAAACTTGATTTTGTTACCAAATGAGTGATAATATGATGACTAATATTATAACAAAGTTATCATACTACATTTCAAAATAAAAAATTCATTGGAATAATATAATGATTGAAATTACGTTTTGTTAGCTGGCTAGCGCATATGTAATGGGGAAAGAATTGATGACATTTTAGTCTATTTACATAATATAAGTTAATTTTAATATTTTTTACAAAATATTTAGTTAAATCATTATTTTATCTACCGATAGAAACAAAAGTTATTGTTATATGGGTTGTCAATGAATTTAGACTCAACTGTGTGGTGTTTAGATAAAACTTTCCCTATATATAACATGTAGATATAGTATGTCTTCGATATTTGTATTATATATATGTACAGTAAAAATGTGTCTGTGATTCAAATAGTAAAGATTGAGAGTACAGCAACATTAGGATAGAATTTTAGGGAGACATGTGTCTCAGTTTGGAAAGAGAATCATGAAAAGTGAGAGTATGAGAGACAGTCAATGTCTCAGTATAGAAAGTGATCCCTTAGCATAGGAAATAAAATCAGAGAAATAATGATAAGAGTTGTAATCTGTATTTTAGAGAAAGAGAGACAGAGTTGAGGAATGAGAGATCACTTAATTACCAGATTTGATTGAGTTGGAGAATTAAATTTAGGGATGTTAATTTTGAAAACTAAAAGTTTTGAGCGGCAAACAATTTTCAAGAGCTAATATCGTACGTCGGATCGAAACGATCTGAGACGTCAATAGTTTGAGAAAGTTTGAAATATCGTCGGTCGTTGGATAATGCCTTTTTTGATATCAAAACTATCTGAGCTGCTCTTTATCTCTTGAATTCAAAATCGTTTTACTTTATTATATAGATATTCAATACTTCAGGGACTAAAATAAGACAATCCCATATTTTGGAGACCTCCAGTACAATTAATCCAACTTTTTTTTTCTTCAGCAACTAACACCGACGCAAATTAACAACCAAAACAAGCAGTTTTTTTATATCTAACGATGTCGTTTGTAACTGGTTTCTCCCAATTCTTTTTTGGTTAGGTTCCTCTAGATATAATGCCCGAATTTTCATTTTGAAATTTGTTCCCCCTCCTCTATCTCTCTTTCTCTCCCTCTCCTGTCGTTGCTTGTTAACTTCTCAACCACCCCCTCTTGCAAGACCCATCACCTCTGCCAGGGACGGAGCCGGAGTCTCTTTTCCGTAGGGGGCAGTCATTAAGTTAAAGAGAACAACTATACAATAATTATCAAAATTCGTTGCATCTAGTGAACATGATTGTTTTCTCAAAATTTCATTCTCTATAAAAAAAATATTTCTAATCTAACACCTTTTATAAAATAATTCTTCATATTATTTTTTTTTATTTTCAAAGATTTCACATATAAATAAACGTGAAACAGTGATAGGACTAGATTAAGAAAAAAAATATATTTTTCTGTATAAAGTATTAGAATAAAAACAGTTTTCATAGAGAAAGTTATTTTGACATATCACTTTGCGAGTAAACTTGTCAATGATAAGATTTAGACTCATCCGATTGACAATTTGTCTTGAAAACCTTATTTTGAATCTAATTTAATTATTCAGTTGATTTCATTTTTATAATACATGATGATGCACAAAATAAGTTTACACAAAATCAATCAAGAGTGTGATGGTGTGTATGATAGTATATGTGAATGCTTAATATAGTAAGAGACAAGATTACGTAGTTTGGTCTGGGTGACCTACTTCACTGAGAATGGCGACGGTGGCCAAAAAGTTTTATTATTCAAGGTGTGATGTGTTGAGACGTGTGTAATGCCCCCCTATATGTAAGCAGAGCTTATAATTTATAAGTGAATTCAACTTCATAGTGCCTCAGAAAGAGACTTGATAGAGGCACCATTACGAGAAGTCCTGATTGAAGTATCAACCTCGTAATGGGGAGTGGAGGTGAATCTGTGATGTCGGCGTAATGGGGAGTGGGTGTGAATCTGTGATGTCGGCGTAATAGGCGAGGTGGTTGAAATTGATGATACACACCCCAATGACTACGCTCTATAATTCTCTTCCTAAGATGGAGATCTCCGCATGCACTAGTACATAGAAATAGACTGAATTTTCCAAGATGGTGGGTTTTGCCCTTGTTGGCCTGTATCTCTGATTTGGGCCCAGTCTGGGTCAGACCAACATATTTAATTTGGGTATGGTTTGGGTTAATCTCGCATCTGTAATCTGGGTCTGGTCTGGGGTTGAGCATATCATTTGTCCCATGCCCGTAGTCCAATGGAATTTGGGAGAGAGGCATCAGTAAGAATAAACATTTGCTTTCTATTTTTTCTACTTTTATGCATTAATTTTTAATGGAATCTGAAACAGATGTTAGTCTGAGGTCCACATTGGAACCAATTTATGACATTCAGAGTACGATATGGGAAAAATAATTTTTAGAAGTAGAAAGTAAGAATCAAGATATCTTTCGAGGTACAAAGTGTGAAAAATTGTTATATTCAGCAATCAGTCAACTGTAGTTGCAAAACAATGATTATAAATGAATAAATTATATTCTTTGAATGGTCTTCCATTGATGTTTCAAAAATTCCATAATTACTAGTCTCTACTTAGCATATATCAATAGCACAATGGGTATCCTATATATCCATTCTTTAATTTAACAAATACGGAATTTAAGATGTGTCATAAGAAGTCAAGATAGGACAAATAAATTTTCATTTTCAAAGCTATGTTTTTTGTGACCTTGATTTAACTTTTTTGGTGTATTGGTTTGGTGTTATATGTAAAAGCCTCCAAAACCTCCATCTTTGTGCTTGTTTTACCCACTTTTCATTTGTTTGATTATGTGGTTTGTTACTATTTAGGTTCTACATTAGAATTATAACCATGTGGATTTCTGTTTATATTCATGTTTGCCGACAAATGCACGTAGCGGAAATGGGTATAAATTGAGAGTGAAGGGATTGATTTCGTTCGAGCATTGAATGTTTTGGATGAAGCCTTTTCTGTTTATATTTGATAATGATGGATTTAAATCTTGTCTCCTTTTCCAAACCCAAAACCCCTTTGGGCTCACCTAATACGACCCAAGCACTTCATCCAGATAGTATTCATCGGACCCGAGTTAGGCCACAACCCAACTCCATGGAAGCCCATAATAGATGTCAGCTCGGCGTAAGCAAGCTTGGTACTAATATTCTCTTAGGAATTGAGAGCTCGACACTAGACAATTCTCTGGTGGCCATGCCATGACACGTGGACACAAGACAAGGGGACCATACCTGATAATCCTAACGAATGCATATTCATCAACAATGAAGATGACTCACGTATTCCCTTCAAGGCATAGTGGGCGCAAGAAAACATCAGGGATGACAAGATCAGCTAAAGAATAAATAAGAAGGGGACTAGTTTAGTTGATTTCGACCACTATCAATATTTCAAGTTTTGAGGTAGGCCAAATGAAATCTGATGAACCACTCCAAAGAAAACACTTAATTGCCTTCATTGGGAGGAAGCTTAGGGGTGAAAGATGTACTATCCTTGGTTTGTTCTAGTTGTTACAATTAATGTCGGACTAGCGACAATTAGGAATCCCAAAAATTTGCAAACCCTTTTGGGTTTACTTGAAGTTGGGAATATCATTGCGGAAAGAGACACTATAAAAAAAAAATCACTTTTAGCCGCTAGATTTAAATTGTAGCTATAAATATTGTCACTGAAGGAATATATTTAACGATAAATTTTTTTTATTGCCATTGAAAATATGATATTAAAATTATTTAGTTGCCACTAAAAATATATAATTAGTGGTGAAAAAGTATAATTGTCACTAAAAATATGATAATAAATCTAATTAGTGACAATTTGAATGTTGCAGCAAAAATATATTGCTAACTCGCCACTAATTTAAAATATTTTGCGATAATAATTTACATTTAGTCACTAATATGCCTTATTTTCAGTCACAATTTTTTTTTCCACTGTTTATCAATTTTAGTGAACAAGTCCCACTGGTAAAAATAGAAATACAAAAGATATTTGGCCCACCTCTCACTCTGTCACTTGTAAACGGATCTCAGCAAGTTCTCTCTCTCGATCTAGTTATTGATGCTTAAATTCAGCAAGTTCTTCTAGTAACCATAACTGTCGAGCTTCAAGATTTGAGATTGACATTGCTCCCACATAGGGAAGACTTTCAGTCACTGCATCTGCCAAATCTGAAATGAACGTGGGCTCGCAACCTAGAGAAGGAACACGCCCCCAATTCTCTATACCAGATTTGAGCGCCAACTCCTTGTATTCAACATCAATTTCTCAATCTGCCATGGATAATCTCTCCTAATCCATCCGCTAGGGCACTGATCTTCGTCTTCCAGTCGTTCAAGAGCTTCTTCAAATCACAAGATTTGCTTTGTAAATTCAAAGCATAATTGAAGTTGTGATTTGCTTTGAGTCAACGTTCTCTAGAGATTTGTTCCAATCCATCAGAGATACAGGTGAGATCTCAACTCAATGATTAGTGATTGCGATTATTTATCTTGATTGAACAATGTTCGAATGTGCTTGAGTTTTGTTATTGATTATCGTAGTTCTTAAATGACTAGTGATTCTGATTATTTGAGTTAGTTAAACGATGTTTGTATGTGCTTGAGTTTTGTTATTGATTATCTAAATTCTTCACATTTTAAGGTTACAGCGATGACTTGGTAGCTGGAAAATAGTGATAAAATCAGAGAACAATTCGCACTTGGAATTGAAATTGATAAGTTACTAAGCAAATATGAGGTTGAGGAACCATTTAATAATTTTTTTTATCCTTTAGATATTGTCTATTTGTTCGCTACAATATTTTATTTGATCCTATAAAGAAAGTGATCAATACTAACTTGCCATTCTAAACTAAAAGATTGGGTTGGATTTTTGAGACCTTGATTTGTAACATTCAAAACACAAGCCTGATAGTATTGATAGTTATTGGAAGAGATAATCGCAGTTATTGGAAGACAAACATAAACCAAGTTTTGTCTTAGCAGTTAAATATGGCTATACTATAATTTGTAGTGGACTTCAAATATTTGTAGTTTTTGGTTATTATAATTTTCCTTAGGAATTATAGCTATGGATTAATGGAAAATCCTAACAAACAAAATGTGTAGCAAAGGAAACCAAAAAGGAGAACAAAAGAAGAATGTGTATAGATTCTATCTGTTTTGGGGGTTTTAGTTTTTCTGAGGGGGTTCACCTGGGTTTAATGGTAATACTAATACTTGCAAAAAAATGGCTTTTCTGGTAATGTGTTCAAAGCCAAAATTATCATTCTAAGATTCACATAATTTAATTGGGACATGTACTCTTTTATGTTGTAGGTGGGCATGGCTGCACTGAATCAAATGGGGGATCGTGACCTGAAAGAGTTGGGGTTACCAATGGTATACTGGTTTTTGCCTAATCTACAGTTCTATAACTTCTGATGTCATTTTAGCTTTTTGTATTGCTTGGTATACAATATAAATTTTATCACTTCCATGATATATTTTACTTGTTTAGACAATTAGGCGCTTCTTATTCAACCAATTAAAATGCTTTGATTTTGTTTGGTTAGGAAATAAGAATCATGATTAATTGAGAAAGTAAGGGATTACTAGATAGAAGAGAGTGTCATAATGCCAGATTGCAGAGATTCCTCTTATCATGTGGGGGCTGCTATTGTACTTCAAATGCTAATCCTCATCTAGGGGATGGCCCCTCCAAAAACATAGGTCAGCGTGCATGATTAACATTCAAATGAAACCACCAGTGATGACTGGACCAAACCTTTTTTCTTGATATCTAATGGGATTCTTAGAATAGTTTATGCTATCGGTGATACTCTTGCTCCAACCGATGATTAACATTGTTAATTGAAACTTGTAGCTCTATTGACACAAAACACAGCAGTCTGAATACCTTGACATTGCTAAAACCTTGATGCTGCCATGGACAGCTCTGAGTTTTTGTTTTTAAATCATACTTGTATATCTGCTGGACAGTTTATAGGTCTTGGCACACATGCTGAGTTTTCTATGTACGTTTATACACCTGCTTCTGCTGGGGGGAAATTTTATCCACATACAGTGCCACGCTTGGTCTTACTCCCATTATCACTCTATGCCTGTAGTTTTGTATCAGATGCGTAGTTCTTTTTATGCCCTGTTTGACATGTTTATGTAACCTACATGGTAGCCAATAGATGAAACCACTCTTTGCTAACTGACATACCTGAAGTGACATATCTCTATTAGTTTGGGTTGTCTGATTTCTAAAATTAAATACTCTCTTACAATGGCTTCTTGATTTGCAGGGACCAAGGAAGAAGATTCTCCTCGCCATCTTGTCCCTGTCTAAACGGAAACCATGATAACTACATGCTACATGAGGTGAACGCATTGTAGAGTTTTATGTTAGTGTGTTCATAATTGTGGCTGCAAATCCAGAATGTAGTTGTACATGCCAGAATGCATCCCTGTTTAAATCTAAAACGTCTGGAAAGTTGGCTATGTTTATTGTTTCACATATTTGCAGTTGTTTGGGCACTATATATCAGTAACCGTAGAATTTATATAGATGAAGTGGACTACGTTTATTTTATAAAGGAAGATCTTTTAGTGGTTATGCATCTAGCACATATAGCTTTATTAATTAATGATCTAAAATGTTACTTCCTTTTGGAAGTGGTGTTTGGACTTGGCTATTACCATTGCAATATAATATAATGTTGAATAAAATATATTAAAAATTTGTATATATTCTCTTCTTGATGTTCATTAAACAAATGAAGATCATTTTTCATGTTTTAGCTAATTGGTCCAAATTATAGTTAATGGTCATAATAATCCTAGTTTTTCTACTCTATCGTCTTGAGCCTCGGATGAATAATCAAATTCTTTATAAGTCATATGCACGAGTTAAACCTGAATTACCCGAATTCATGGCCTCTTTTGAATGGTCTTATGTGGCATTAGTGATCCTCAAGGGAAATAATCAGGTGTATTATCCACATTGTTTTACTTGATTGGTTTTTCCCTCTTTCTAATTTTCTTTCCTTATTTTTCTTGTAGTGTGGTTCTGGGCGATCAGTTATTCCCATCAAGGCTGGTTTTGTAGCTCACTTTGGCCGTCGGAAGGCTGGAACTTGATCTGTCTTGGGTATCTTTCTTTGGGTGGGAAGTTTTGTCACGTAGTTCATGACCTCAGTTTGGTTTTTGTGCTTGCATAAAATGATTCATGCTTATTCGGACTTCCATACTGAATATACTAATAGTCATGTAATACCCTGTTATTGTGAGCTGTTAGGACTGTGTTGGACTGGGTTGTCGATTTGGACTGTGTTGAATGAAGCTGCTTGTTGATTTGGACTGTGTTGGACTGCTTGTGTATTAATTAATTATGTCTACTGAATGAAGCTGTTTGTTGAACGGTTACTGTTATTTCTTTCATGTTTTAGTGGTTAAACAGTGTAGCAGTCTTTAAAGTATGCCTGCATGTTTCAAACTGTTCAACAGTGGTCACCACTGTAGCTTGAAACTTACTTTTAATTCTTGAATGCAGAAAATGAGTGAAAGAAACAAGGAGAACCAAGCAAAACAGGACATGGGTCATATTGCAGAGACAAAGAGTTTCACTCGAATTAGTTACAATAGCGTGAGTTGTTTTTTAAATGTATATTTCACTTATGTGATTAATTATATACATGTATACATGCATATTTATGTAGTCTTAATATATATTTGAATCATCTCCGATATGTCTTCTCTTGATTTTCTTTAATGAATTTGTATTAATGTTAGGTAATTTATGTTAGGTACAAACCAGTGGAAGTTCTGAAAATAGTTTTGGAAGGAAGGCCCTGTGGTGAGAATGTTGAGATTGGTTAGAATTTTTAAAAAGCAATCTCTAATCAGGCTAGGAAGATGTAGCAGCTAGATCATCAAGGTACCAAAGTTTTAAGGAAGAAGATTGTTATACTGCCTCTTCGTGTCTCTGGACAGGGGATTGAAGATTGTACAGATTGGTTGGTTTTTTTTGGAGTGATTAAAGCATTGAATTTTAGGCTTTTCATTGTTTTGATTCTTGTAAAATCTGCTTTTTGTAATACTTGATTTCAATAAAAAAAAGTATATGAAATTTGAAAATATTGAAAAATAGATTCTTTCAAATATGCGATAATTTCTTTGTTTATTTTAATGTATTAATTAGTAACGACAATAAGTTGTCAAAAAATCATGTTTCAAATTTTAATGGTGATTTTAATTGTGGGTAAAATGTATATTTTTAGCCGCAATTAATTGTTGTCACTAAAAGTCAGGTTTTAATCTGACTTTTAGTGGTGATATAGTATATTTTAGTAGCAAAATTTAGTTTACTTACAACAATAATTATGACGGCTAAAAATTTTACATTTAGTGGTATTTTTCATGGTGCGGCTAAAAAATTTACTTTTAGTGACAACAATTAAATATCATAATTACATGATTTAGTTACACACATATTGCCGCAGCTTAGTGGCAATAAAAATATTGTCACTGAAAGTATATAGTGACAATTTTTATGCATTTAGCTGCAATAATTTTTGCGATTAAAATACCAATTTCTTGTATTGAGACCTATTCCTATGGGTCTTGGTGTCAGTTCTAGTTGAGTGTTGTGATCACGTCATTGCTTGTTGATTGAATTAACTGTGAAACCAACTCATTCTCTTTCGTCTCCTTGCAACCTGTCAATTTGAGCTATACTATATTGGATTTTTATTTCCATTTGCTAATTGGGTTGTAAATGTCAAGAGTTTGGAACTTGCTGAAAGTCTTCTTGTTTATGCTCTATGGCACTCTAGTCTTTATGAATTTGTGGACATGAGGAGGTTGGGGTATTCCTTTTAAGTAATCACTCATGCTGTTGAAGAATATGCATTGCCGATATGAGCTTTAGGCATTCATATATAATATGATTTGCACTCGTCTAGATATTTCACAAGCAGTTAGTGTGGTTAACTGTTATATGGCGAATCCTGGAAAAGTTTTTTGGTAGGCTGTGAAATGGGGACTTCATTATTTGAAAGACTATACGTGTTGGCTTAATCTTTGGTAGAAGATATGATATCGATTTTACAATTGTTGGTTATGTTAATTTAGATTATACAGGTGATCTAGATAAGAAGAGATCTTTGACAGGTTAAGTTTTTACTATATTTGGGTGCATTGTAAGTTGGAGAGTGATCCTACAGTCTTCAATTGCTTTGTCTACTATAGAGACAGGATACATTGCAATATTAGAGAGTTAAAAAAATAATTTGGTTGAGAGGTTTGATCTATGACCTGGACTTGGAAGATGAGGCGACTACTTTGTTTTGTGATAGACTAAAAATCAAATGTATCATGAAAGGACCAAGCACATTGATGTTATGTATCACTTCCTTCGTGGAGTTATGACGGTATTGTTTTAGTGAAAACGGTTGCTACAACGGAGAATCCAGCAAATATGTTTATTACGCCGGTGTCAATGCTCAAGTTCAAAAATTGTTTGGACTTGATTGGTGTTTGCAATATTTTAGTTGTACCCTTTGGGATATTTGATATGAGAGCGATTAAGTTCACTTTGGCTGGATGGCTTAATGGAATACAAGTCAAAGTAAAAATTTGTTAATTATCGATTAGTATTTGAATTCCACTCTAATTGAATTGTATTTGGCGAATGACTTTCTGTAGAAGTTTAATCATGGGAACAAACTCAAGGAGTCTTCTAGCAACTGGATTCATGTTGGACACGTCGCTTTCATGGAGGAGTCTTTTCCATGTTATATTGGTTTGATACGAATTGGTCGAAGGGTGGTATAGTCCAACATGGACTTTGGTTATTTAGTTTCAAGGCTTAGAAAAGTTCTTTTATTCAGTAGAGTATAAAGGAAACTGCAACGTGTTCAGCTATAGAGTTTTTCGACGTTGTCAAATTATTGTGTGGCATACATTGACGATAGAGTGGTGACACATTTTCTCGTCTTTTTGTTTTGAGAATTTTATAATCTCCGATCTTTAATAGTAAAATCTTGTTGCTGTCTTTCGTTTGTGGACGTAACTTTACTTGTTGAACTGAACTACGTAAATCTTGTGTGTTCTATTTTTCTATTTTGTTGCGTTATTGTTTTCCTTGTAGCCTTGGTTCATAATAACATAGAGATGAGTTCTATCAATTTTATGACACTTGAAACATGTCTGATACAATCAAAAAACTGTGGGTAAATTCTTTGGTTGAAGAGATCACCAGCCTTATGCCAATTTTATTATTTCTGAAATTTTGATTTTCTTCGATCATTGCTTTTGTTTCCAACAATTATTATTATTGTTTGCAAAATTTCATTAGTGTGACTGTTTATATTCTTCTTAACCAATGTGTTACTAACTTGAATCAGAATTCACCATATAGTCATGACTATGGAGCAACTTCTACATGATTTGTGTCATTAATTAAACCAGCTAAACTGTGATCGAAATCTTAGGAAAATTTATTTTCTCATTGTTTTTCTAGTCTCTGTGTGTACAACCAATGCAAGAAAACGCTCGAGTACAATGAAATTTGGTAAGTTTCTTCCAACGCATATTGTTGGAAATAGTGGGTGACTTATATTTACTAGACCCAAAAAAGAATGGAAGAGTAAGTGGAGTAGAGTGGGGTGTAGTTAAGTGAGCGCGAAGGCGTCATAGATATGAGTTTTTACTGAACTAATTGTATTTGATTTACTTAGACTGTGTTTTCTAGTTGGACTAGGATTAGTTTATCAAACTATTGCCAAAACAAAGTTGTAACTCTATGAGGATATTGATATAGTGAAACAATCGTTCTCTCATACCCGTGGACAACGTTTTTTATGCTGATATATCCAGCTATTCCTCCCTTTCCACAAGAACCATAGTAAATAAGGCACCATCGGTTTGTCTATCTCTATTACAATACTTACTTCACCAGATTTTAATTCTAGCTACCAGCAACCACAATTCAATCCTTGTTGTCTTCTGTCTATCAATTGACATCTTCAGGGGAGAATTCTTCCATGTATCACTTGTCCAAGGACGGAGCAAAAACAAAAGTTTCATGGGGGAATTACACATAGATCATTTGATGTTTGTCATTTAATCATTCAGATCCCTTGACATTTAAAATATTACACATAAATTCTTTGAAGTTTGTATGCGCGTAACACTAGAGCTTTGTGACTTTATTTTTGCCTCCCAAAAGGGAAATATTTCCCTTTTAGAACTCTTGCCCATAAAGCATTTGGGTTATTAATCAGTCTCCATACCTGTTTTGCCAACAAGGCTCTATTGAATAACTCCAAATCTTTTAAGCCCAGTCCCCTTTCTTGTTTTCTCATTGTTGAATTGCTCCGTTGCTTCCAAAGTTCAAATGGATCATTTTTCCACCTGTATTCTTACTCAACCAAAAGGATGCAATTCTTGCAGTTATATCTTGGCGGGTAAATTGTAGCAGAGGTCTCCAAAGTATTGTATTGGTCTCATTTTAGTCTCCAATATTTCAATTATATCATTTTAATCCTTGAAGTATTGAATATATTTCAATGTGATCCTTCAAATAGGTAACGTCTAAATTGCTAATAATTTTTTTATTATAAATTTGTCACATAATACCTAAATATGGGCAAAAAAATAATTTGAATAACACTTGACTAAAATTTGTACCCAAATTTTAGTTAAAGAGCTAGTTAAATTACACATTTTTAATCATGAGCTACACAAATTTTGGTCAAGTGCTACACAAATTTTGGTCAAGAGCTACTAAAATTATTTTTTGTTCATATTTAGGTATCATGTAACAAGTTTATGATAAAAAATCATTAGATATTACATAAAAACGTATTTAATACTTTAGGAACCAAAATGATATAATTAAAATATTGAGAATTAAAATGAGACAAACTCTATACAATGGAGACTTCAATGCAATTAATCTTATCTTGGCAAAATTTAAAGGGAAACTTACCCACAGCTTAGTATGAGAGAAAATTGGATGTACAGAAAAAAATGGATGGAAAGTGGGGGGAAAGAGAGGGTTTTAAAGATGGACATTGCATAAGGAATATCCTACGCCACAACTTTTATCAAGACTTTCCTTCCTGCAATGTTCAACA